TTGAGAAGAAGCCAGCAAAAGTGACCAAGGCACAGTCAGGGAGGTAAGAAGGACACCCAGAAATGTGTAGTGCTATGGACACACATTTGGTCTAAGACAAATTTCAGTGAAGTAGCAGTCAGATTTTAAATACAGACTATCACTCAGTAGTTCCAAGTTTTTATAATTCTCCTTTTTATTAGGAAATCATGTATCAACATTTCTTGAGGAAAAAACCCTCTCTTTTTGTTTTTAGACATAAGGTCACACGCTGTCACCCAGGCTGGAGTGCAGTGGTGCAGTCACGGCTCACTACAGCCTCCAACTCCTGGGCTCAGAGGATCCTCTCACTCCAGCCTCCTGAGTAGCTAGGACTACAAGTGCATGTTACCTGGCTAATTAAAAAAAATTTTTTTTATGGCCCAGAGTCTCACTGTTGCCCAGGCTGAAGTGCAGTGGTGTGATCTCAGCTCACTGCAACCTCTACCTTCTGAGTTCAAGTGATTCTCATGCATCAGCCTCCTGAGTAGCTGGGATGACAGGTGTGTGCCATCATGCTTGGCTAATTTTTGTATTTTTAGTAGAGATGGGTTTTTAGTCATGTTGGCCAGGCTGGTCTCAAACTCCTGGCCTCAAGTGATCCATTCGCCTTGATCTCTCAAATTGCTGGGATTACAGGCATAAGCCATTGCGCCTGGCCCTAATTTAAAAAATTTCCATAGAGATGGAATCTTGTTATGTTACTCAGGATGGTCTCAAACTCTTGGGCTCAAGCAATCTTCCTGTCTCGGCCTCCCAAAGCGTTGGGATTACAAGTGTGAACCACTGTGCCTGGCTCTATTTTCGTTCTTTTTTGAGACAGGGTCTCACACTGTCACCCAGGCTGGAGTGCAGTTGTGTGTTCATGGCTCACTGCAGCCTTGACCACCCAGGTTCAGGTGATCTTCCCATCTCAGCCTCCTGAGTAGCTGATATTACAAGTGTGCACCACCATGTGCAGCTAATTTTTAAATTTTTGTAGAGATAGGGTTTTGCCATGTTGCCCAGCATGGTCTTGAACTCCTACACTCAAGGCATCTGCCCACCTTGAGGCTTATGCCTTTTATCCAATTAATTATTGTAATTACAATGGATGCATAATTTTGATTTTTTTATTTTAACGTAGAAGAAATTTGTGATTTCATAATTACCATTTTGATGGCTGTATAATGTTCCATTCAGTGATATTTTAGAGGTTTGTGGGAGGATAGGGCTAATTCTGTAATAACAAAAAGAAGAAAAGAAACCACTATAGGACAATAAACTCTTTCATAAGACCCATCTTCCTTTACCATGGCAGGATCGTTGTAGTTTAAGCAAGCACATGAGCAAATGAGCCTATCAATCATTTTGTCTTCTTGAAGTTTAAATACAGACAAGCCAATTTCAATATGTTGCTTCTTGTCTACAATTTTTTTTTTTTTTTTTTAGATATGGAGTTTCACTCTTGTTGCCCAGGCTGTAGTGCAATGGCACAATCTCAGCTTACCGAAACCTCCACCTCCCGGGTTCAGGCGATTCTCCTGCCTCAGCCTCTTGAGTAGGAGTAGCTGGGATTACAGGCATGGACCACCATGCCTGACTAATTTTGTATCTTTAGTAGAGACAGGTTTTCTCCATGTTGGTCAGGCTGGTCTCAAACTCCTGACCTCAAGTGATCTGCCTGTCTCGGCCTCCCAAAGTGCTGGGATTACAGGTGTGAGCCACCACGCCCGGCCTCTTGTCTACAATTTTATACAATCATGTTTCAACCTTGGTGAGAAAATAGGAAAATTTAAATCATCTTAAGAAGCGCAGGGTTAAAGTGGAGAGAGAGATGTTTATTTTGTTGATCTTTGAAATACAAGGACTCTCTTCGTAGATAAGCAAGCAAACTAAAAACCCATACATCATCACCTTGATGCATTGTTTTCTTTGAATCTTGAAAAACAGATAATGAAGTCAAGGGCAGGAGTAAATGATGCTTTTATTCACTGCCATTAAATCTTAAAAACAGACTGAAGAGCTTTAAGGTATCCAAGCAAATTTTTCTTTTCTTTTTAGCATTCTTTAATAATTGTATACTTTTATTAAAAAAATTTTTTTTTTTTGAGACAGGGTCTTACTCTGTCTCCCAAGCTGGAGTACAGTGGCATGATCTCAGCTCGCTCCAACTTTTGCCTTCCGGGCTCAAGCAATCCTCCTACTTCACGAATATCCCTTAGTACAAAGGGGGCTGAAATGGTTAATTACCTGCTTTAATTGAAGTGCTCTCATGTGTTTAAATTTAAGCCCTAAACTGATGAGTGAGGTAAGCTGTCAAATAAGATGAAAAAGAGGACTATTCTAGAACTGTAGGACTGAGTTTCTGTAGGAAACATAACTAGAAGCAAAAGGCGAAATGGCTCCATCAGATCTCATGACTGAGCCAACGACATTTTTAAGCTCTTTGATCTAGTGAAATCAGTTGATTTAATGAAATCTAGTAAGATCTGCTGAAATCAGTTATTTAGCTCAGGCAGGCTAAAAGCCTCTTGCCACCAACAAAGATGTCTCTAGTTTGCTGATATCCAAATCAATTGATCAGGAAGCTAAGGACACTAGGGCTGCAGGACTCCCTTTGGATTAATTCAGTAAATATGTACTGAGGTTCCTACTTTGTGCAATATAAAATACCACATTCAGCTTCCATGACATCCTTATTTACTTTTTGAGATGGAGTCTCAAATATATATATAAAATTAGCCAGGTGTGGTAACACGCACCTGTAGTCCTAGCTACTCAGGAGGCTGAAGTGGGAGGATCCTCTGAGCCCAGGAGTTTGAGGCTGTAGTCAGCCCAGGCTGCAGTGCAGTGGAGTAATCTCAGTTCACTGTGGCCTTCGACTCCCAGGTTTCAAGTGATTTTTGTGCCTGAGCCTCCTGAGTAGCTGGGATTATAGGCATGCGCCACCATGCCTGTTTTGTATCTTTAGTAGAGGCAAAATTACACAGTAGTAATTTTGTATTTTTAGTTTCGCCATGTTGGCCAGGCTGGTCTCCAACGCCTGACCTCAAGTGATCCACCTCAGCCTCCCAAAGTGCTGGGATTACATCCTTATTTAAAGGTTTATCTTCTCCATCCATTGTTTTCAGACCAGACTTGGCTCTTTGCATGGATCATGTTGGCAGTTTCCTGTATGCCCTATCCAGTGAGAAGCTTTTTGTCCTTACTCCAGGCTGTAGGGGGCAGATAGTGATGTGAGATCTATCCAGAGCACCAGCCAACTTAAGGCAGGTTCCTGGCCTAAGGGGTTGGATGCTTTCTCTGTGGAGGGGTAGAGGGGCGGAGAAAGGAGAAGGAATGGTAAGGAGAGATGTGGGTCTCTAAGTCACATGGAGACTGTGGAAGTGCTGACCACCTTCTACACACCACATTCTTATATAATCCTTGGTTAATAATCATAACAACAGTATGAAGCACGTGGTATTGTTTAACTGCATTTTACAGATAAGGAGATTGGCTAGTGACCTACCCAAGGTCACAGAGTAAGTGGTGGAGGTCAGATTTGAATTTCCTCTCTAGGTCTTTAAAAACCTTCCACCGGGCCGGGCGCGGTGGCTCACGCCTGTAATCCCAGCACTTTGGGAGGCCGAGACAGGTGGATCACGAGGTCAAGAGATCGAGACCAGCCTGGTCAACACGGTGAAACCCCGTCTCTACTAAAAATACAAAAAATTAGCTGGGCATGGTGGTGCGTGCCTGTAATCCCAGCTACTCAGGAGGCTGAGGCAGGAGAATTGCCTGAACCCAGGAGGCGGAGGTTGCGGTGAGCCGAGATCGCGCCATTGCACTCCAGCCTGGGTAACAAGAGCGAAACTCCATCTCAAAAAAAACAAAAACAAACAAACAAAAACAAAAACAAAAACAACCTTCCACCACCGCGCACAGGGACTCAGTAGGATTTCACGTCCAGAGTGAATCATGCCGTGCCCTCCACTCTCACATTTTTACACAACGAAATCTGTCTAGCATGTACAACTAATAAAAATAGTAGAGGGAAAAGATGTCATGAGTAGGCAATTTATAGCCAGAGAGGTGGGAGTGCAGGTTTTGGGTCCACCATTTTTTTTGTCTTGATGAGGAGCCCTTTAGGTCATTTTAGTACTAGTGTCACTGCCTGCCTTCCTGAGTCTTTGCCACAGCAAAGGCTTGTTTCCTCCACTAGACAAAAATATGGATGGCTGACCCAGTTCTGTCTCAAACAATGATCATAAGAATCAAATAAGGCCATCTGTAAACTATTGCACTTTACAAACTGTTAGGGTAGCAGCCATATTTCCAAAGTATCAGGGAACAGCGAAGCAGCTGATTAAAATAAAGTCTTGATTACTTGAGATACAGGAGGGTAGAAATAACATGTGGTAACTGAACTCTATGGATACTATCTAAAATCGCATTCTAACAGGCAAGTTTAATCTTTCTGAGATTTGCCTTTTCCTAGAGCTTTAAAAAATAAGAAAGAAGAGGGGTGTAAAATGCCAGTAAGGTTAAATTTCTTCTCCTTTTGAGCCCTGCCCATAGGTAGATAGAATTAGGGCAGAACAAAAAGATTAAGAATAAAAGCCCGAAGGAGAGGCCCGTACATGTGAATATACAGTGAATACTGGGGTAAGGAAATGAGTTATGCGGAAAAGGCTTCAGATCATCCCTGTGGACCGCTCCGGGTCTGGACATTCCCTTTGTCAACCTTCCAGAGTCTGAGTCCCAGGGCTCCCCACGGCGGGAAGGGAAAGGCGCGCGTGGCTAGGCGAGCGCGTACACGGGCACTCACGTGTACACACACACGCGCGCACACTACACATACACACACGGCCCGTTTCCTCTGCTCCCTCCCCGTGGGGGGCGGGTCTCTTTCTCTTTAAAGAGGAGACGGTCTACGCGCACACCCAGGCTCTCAAGGCCTCCGGGGCCCGGGACCCGAGCTGCTCGCAGCCAATGGGAGTGGTGGAGCGGCTCGAGCGCGGCTGACGCTACGCCAATGGGCGCTCGCGGGGGGCGGGGGCAGCCGAGGAGACACTATTGTTGATGAGCGGCGGCGGCGGCGGCTGCAACACCTCGTTGCTGCAGGTCCCGGCCCCGGCCCAGTCGCCCCCTACACCTCGGAGTCCGGCTTCGTCACTCAGTCGCGGGGGCTTGCCCTGCGGCCTCGAGAATCCTACCCCTGCAGCCCAACAACAACAAAACCCCCCGTCTCGCCCAGTCACCGGGGAGGGGGGGACCATGTCCCAGCGGGTGAGGCGCAATGGGTCCCCCACGCCGGCCGGCTCCCTTGGGGGCGGTGCGGTCGCCACGGCCGGGGGACCCGGGAGCCGCTTGCAGCCCATGAGGGCGACGGTTCCGTTCCAGCTGAAGCAGCAGCAGCAGCAACATGGCAGCCCCACGCGGAGCAGCGGCGGCGGCGGCGGCGGCGGCAACAACAACGGTGGTTGCTGTGGTGGCGCCTCAGGCCCCGCAGGCGGCGGCGGCGGCAGCGGCGGCGGCCCGCGCACAGCCTCGCGCAGCACCAGCCCCACGCGCGGCGGCGGGAACGCGGCCGCGCGCACCAGCCCCACGGTGGCCACGCAGACGGGCGCGTCCGCGACGTCCACGCGAGGCACCAGCCCCACGCGCGGCGCTGCGCCCGGGGCTCGCGGGAGCCCCCCACGGCCGCCGCCGCCGCCGCCGTTGCTTGGTACCGTGTCGTCGCCCAGCTCGTCGCCCACACACCTGTGGACCAGCGAGGTGAGCGCGGCCCCACCCCCAGCCCGTGTCCGACATCGGAGGAGGTCTCCGGAGCAGAGCCGAAGCTCGCCGGAGAAGAGGAGCCCCAGCGCCCCGGTTTGCAAAGCAGGTAAGTACTGGGGGTCGCGCAGCGAGGGGGAGGCGGCGGCGGGAAGGGGTCCCGGGCGCGCGCTGCCATCGCGCGGGGACTGCAGCGCTGCCGCGGAGCCCGGGTGGCTGGGGGCGGGGCTGGGGGCGGTGCCGGGCGGTGGGGACCGGGCAGTGTGGACCCGCCTTTCCCGGGCCTGCCTTGTGCCCCGTTTGCCCGCCTCATTCATCCCTGTGTCCGCCCCGCGCGGCTCCCTGGCGGTGGAGGTGCAGCAGCTAAACCTTGGGCTTGGGCTGATGAGTGTTAATGATAAACCTGGCGTCCTGGCTTTCCGGTCGTTACTGCTCACCCTCCCTTGCGGGTGAGGCTAGGTGGGAGTGGTTTGTCATTTTGTTTTAGGGACAAGGTTAATGTTGACGTAGCCCATGTCTGCTGCTTCTAAATATTTGTGTTCACAAAACAGTCTCAGATGTGGGGTACTGAATGCATTAGCAGTGGCAGATTTGAATCACTGAACAGAGGCTGAGACACTCGTGTTTGAGCATTTCCAAGACTTGATAAATGGGTAGCAAGAAGTCAGAATTAAGCAAGATTCCTTAGGAAGGTTTATGGGTTTTGTCTGAGGCTCTGGGTGTATTTCTGATTTTATGTACTGATTCTGTGTTTTGAACGTAAAAAAACAGAATCCAGTGTTTGTCTCCATCTTGTTATTGTTTTAGGGAGCTAACATTCGTTGTTTTTCTGTTTACCTGGAAGCTTTCTCGGGAAAAGTCCTGAATGGGTGCCCATGGAGTCATTCATAAATAATAACTCAAAAGAGAAATTCAGATTGGAGGAAATGGAAAGGGATAAAATTTATCATCTTGTTGCCTTGAGAAACGAAAGGAGTGGTTTTTAGTTATATATTCATTTTTGTCAACATATATCTTTGTCTTCCCCTGTCTGGGGAACTTCTGTTAGAACCTTCCAGGCAGAATGATTGGGAATTTGAGGAAACGAATTCACATGAAATAGTTTCCGAAATGGAAAGAGTAGGATGACTCTTTCTTACTATTTATTTTATGAAAGGTTTTAGATAACACTATTTTGGAGAGAATTGCCCTGGAAAATGATGAATAGTATCTTCTTTTTTTTTTTTGGAGATGGAGCCTTTGTCACCAGGCTGGAGTGCAGTTATACTCATTGCAACCTCTGCCTCCCGGGTTCAAATGCTTCTCCAGCCTCAGCCTCCCGAGTAGCTGGGATTACAGGTGACTGCCACCATGGCCAGTTAAAAAAAAATAATTTTTGTATGTTTAGTAGAGACGGGGTTTCACTGTGTTGGCCAGGCTGATCTGGAACTCCTGACCTCAGGTGATCCTCTCGCCTTGGCTTCCTAAAACGCTGGGATTACAGGTGTGAGCCACTGCGCCTGAACCAGAGCAGCTTTAAACCTTTTGAGAATGCAGAATGCTCTTCTAAAACTGTGATAAAAGTACTAGACTTCCTCTCCCGGCTTCATAACCTCTGTCACCTACTGAACAACTACTATATGGCAGGTGGTTTTTATGCAAAATCTCATTTAACCCTCACTGTAGCTTTTAGAGAGGTTAACAAGTGGCAGAGTTAGTATTTATTTGAACTCTGGTCAATTGTACTCCAAAGATGATGTTTTTATATTATATCAAGAAAGTGACATCACGACGTGTAAGATAGAACCTGGGAAATGTATAGCAGGCCAAAATTACATGTACTTAGTTAAGATGTACTTAGACATCTAATGAACAAAGCTGCTTCAGTCCTTCAGCCTTCTGGAGCCACCATAGTGCATCAGGTGGAGGGGAAAGAGAGCTGCTTATAAGTGAGCACTAGAGGTGACAGAAGGAGGTGCAACCCGCAGCCTGGTAACAGAATCTGCCTCTCTTAACAACTGTTTGATACTCGGAGAAACACGCTGAGAACTGGGTTGATTTAAGTATTAGCAGCTTGTGGCAGAAGGTACTCTTTCCCTCTGATCTCTAGGAGGGCTCTATTTCCTGGGATTTGAGGCTACTCCTGTGCCCACTCTTCATGTTTTGAAAGACCCCCTCGCCAGATTATCCTATAGAGTATTTGCTGTAAAATTATCCTCATTAGCTCCCCCACCAAAAAAAAAAAAAAAAAAATCCAGAAAAATAAAAACTCTTATTTTTCTAGTGCCGAACTTTCACTTAGATGTGATAAATATTATCTGTTGTTAAGTCATACCCTACTGTGAATGTCTCAGTTTCTTTCTTAGGAATTGTTTCACTCTTCTAAATATCCATGCAGAGGAGAAGAAAGTGTTTTCAGATTTCAAGTGTTCATAACACACAAACTACAATTAAATCATTTGCTGTTTTTATATGACTAGATCTGGAAGGTGAGTCTTTGTAAACTCCAGACCCCCTTTTTTCTTTCTTTCTTTCTTTTTTTTTTTGAAACAGAGTTTTGCACTTGTAGCCCAGGCTAGAGTGCAATGGTGCCATCTCAGCTCACTGCAACCTCCGCCTTACGGGTTCAAGCGATTTTCCTCCCTCAGCCTCCCAAGTAGCTAGGATTGCAGGCACCCACCACCATGCCCAGCTAACTTTGTATTTTTATTGGAGATGGGGTTTCGCCATGTTGGCCAGGCTGGTCTTGAACTCCTAACCTCAGGTGACCCACCTGTCTTGGCTTCCCAAAGTGCTGGGATTACAGGCTTGAGCCACCACGCCCGGCCTCTCACCCCCTTTTTGATTAACGGGAGGCTACCACCAGTTTGCAGCCTTGATGAAGTGTAAAAATCCCTACTGCAAAGGGGAAGAGCCTACCCCACGTAGTTCTATAAACTTCATAGGACTCAAATTTCAGGTTCCATCTAGATCAGGCTGTTGGCTTTCAGGTGTCTTATCAGCTGAACTGAATGCCCTAACCTTTGTTAGGGATCTAGTATCTCAGAGTCCCTAAGTTGAAGGTGTCAAGATCCCTACCCAGCTGCTTTATTCTTCTGGAGTTAGAGCTGTTTGGCTCATGGCTGATGTAGAATTTCCTACTCTTGACTACTATAAAATAATTGAAGCACCCTTCCCTGACAGATATTTTAAACTTCCCACCTTCAGTGACTGTCATCTCCATAGCAAAGCTGTTTGTCATTAGGAGCCGAGGTATGTTTAGAAAAGGTATCTGGGCAACAGTGTTAACCAGGAAGTTTTTGTGCCTTCCCTGCTTTTACCCAACTTTGTTTTATTTATTAAAATGTCAAATAGATTATAAATGGTGAGATAGTATAACATAGAGGTTAGGAGGATATACTTTGGGTAAGCAGTTTGGATTTAATACCTGTGTTCCACCAACTAGAAACCATGTGATAGGGAAAGTTATCTGTCTTATCTGTGAAATGGATGGTAATATCTACTTTATATGACAGTAGGGATTAAATAAGGAAAACTGAGAAATAGCACAGTAGCTCAGTATAAAAGTTAGCTGTTGTGTATCATATTAGTTTTGCTTCTAGTTTTAGTGGATGTAACATAAATTGCCAGTGTAGGTTCAGTTTTCATGGTCGTATGAAATTGCAAATTGGTAATAATGTTGCCTGTGAACATCCAAAATAGTGTTTCTCAAAGTGTGCTCTGTGGTTCATCTGTATCAGAATCACTTAGGGTGTGTGGGTTATTAAAAAAAAAATTTGGCCGGGCAAGGTGGCTCATGCGTGTAAGCACTTTGGGAGGCTGAGATCACCTAAAGTCAGGAGTTCAAGACCAGGCTGGACAACATGGTAAAACCCTGTCAGTCAAGCCTGGGTGACAGAGCAAGACTCTGTCTCAAAAAAAAAAAAAAAAAAAAAAATTGATATTTGTCTCTAGTTCCTTGCACAGAGATCCTAAAACCCTTGTGATTTCCTGAATGATAGGAGTGTCTTCTCTTACTCATTTTGAGCCCATTTCAGTCACAGCTATGTCTACTGTCTGCTCTAATGAGGTCTTAGTTAGAGTCTCACTTTGTTGCCCAGGCTGGAGTGCAGTGGTATGATCCCAGCTCACTGCAATCTCCGCCTCCTGGGTTCAAGCAGTTCTCCTGCCTCAGCCTCCCAAGTAGCTAGGATTACAGGCATGCACTACCATGCCCGGCTAATTTTTGTATTTTTAATAGAGATGGGGTTTCACCATGTTGGCCATGCTGGTCTTGAACTCCTGACCTCAGGTGATTCGCCCACCTTGGCCTCCCAGAGTGCTGGGATTGCAGGTGAGAGCCACCATGCCCGGCTGAGATTGGGCTTTATAAAAACCTTTGAACAGTGATATTTGGAGGGTTGGTGAACAAAAGGTGCTCAGAGGGTAGCATGCTTGGAGGGGAAGCTGGAGACTTCTCTCTTCCCCATGCCTTGCCCTGTGCATCTCTTTCATTTTAGCTGTCCTGGGTTGTATCCTTTATAATAAAACTGGTAAACCTAAGTGAAATATTTCCCTGAGTTCTGTGAGCCATTCTGGATAATTATGAAACCTTAGGAGGGTTCATGGGAACCCTCAATTTATAGCCAGTTGGTCAGAAGTACAGGTGGCTTGGGACTTGGTGATTGGCATCTGAAGTGCAGGTAGAAGGGTGGGGCTGAGCCCTTAACCTGGGGGGGGGGGCGGGGGTCTGTGCTGATTCTGGGTAGTTAGTGTCAGAACTGAATTGAATTGTTGACCATTTGGCGTCCAGAGAATTGGAGAATTGGTGGTTGGTGTTGGAAAACACCCCAGGGTGCATGTTAAAATGCAGATTCCCAGGCCATGCTCTAGGCTTTGAAAGCCTGTTCCACACCCATGATTTTGCTGTACTCTAAACTGAAAAAGAACGGCCAGAAGTCCACAAGGAAAATAGTTTGAAAACTCATTAGAGAAAAGGGAAGTACAGTGTAAGTTATTTTTGTAGTATGGCTGACTGATAGTAATATGTAGGTAGTGGCTGGGTGCGGTGGCTCACGCCTGTGATCCCAGCGTTTTGGGAGACCGAGGTGGGTAGATTACCTCAGGTGAGGAGTTCAAGACCAGCCTGGC